GAATCACTTTTTTTCCTTTCAACTTAAAGTTGGATCAAATAAATTGCCAGATCTCAAAGAATCACCTTTAGATTGATCCGGTTTAGGTATGTCTTTATTATTTAGTTTTTTTTTTTACTTTTTTATATTTATTTACTTTTAATAATAATATTATTATTATTACTTTTAGTATTTTTTTTAAATAACCTTTTTTATTTTATGAAAATAAATTGTAAAGATTTGATAATTTTAAATTCCAATTTTTTAAACTAAAATAAAATTAATAATAATAAAAAAAATGAAGAAAAGAAATTTTTATCTGATAATAAGATTCTAAGGTAATTCGAGTAGTGATATTTAAGAAATTTATAGTTAATTTTTTTAAATACTACTAATGTGTTGGAATATTTATAAAAAATTTTCAATACAATAAAATTTTTTTTCTTTTCTTCTAAAAAAAATTCTAAGAATATAATAAACAATTAATAAATAATTTTTTTTTAAAAATGATAAATAATACATGCATACTAATAATTAATCATTTGCATCGCCTACGTATCATTTAATTTTTAAAAAATAAATAAAAGTCTATGAAATTCGAGTAGCGATACCAAGAAATCTTTGGGTAAAAAAAAATTCTTTTAATGTTACCAACGTATTAGAATATTTTACGAGTTCTTTTAATAATAAGGTTATAATTTATTTCTTCCTAATAAATCAAAATCATAAACAAAAATAATAAAAGAAAGCAAAATAAAAAAATAAATAAGGAATATCAAGGAAATTATTTTTAACACTTAAATGTAAGACTTTTTTTGTCAAATTTAAGAGATAACATATAATTAATTGGTACCATTTTAAACGGGCGCTATGGAGTGCTAATCCTTCCCCATATATAATTAACTTCTAAACCAAAACTATTTTCACAAACCCAAAACTTATTTTTTTAATAAATTTTAATAAATTTTTAAATTTTATTAAAAGGATAAATTTTAATAGGTGGCCAATCACACTTAGTCAAAAAAGATTAATTGTGACTTTTTTTGTTTTTAAATTCATCTAACAGCCCCAAAACCATTATGATAACTTGGTGACTTCATTGGAGATGTAATTTTTTGAGAGTCAGGCCAAAAATTAATTATGTATTATCCTTAATTTTAATTTAATTGTCTTAATTGATATTTAACCTTAATTTTCTTGATTTTAATTTTTTTTAAATGATAATAATAATAATAATAATAATAATAATAATAATAATAATAATAATAATAATAACAACAACAACAATAACAATAAAATCTCTTACATTGCATTTATTTATTTATTTTTGTATATATTATCCTTAATAAATTAGAAGGCACTTGCACATACGGTGACATGTTGCATTTCATATATGATCTCTATACCGAGGCTCTGTCCTTTATAGGATGAAGAAAAATATCTATGCTCTCATGAGGTGATAACTTCTGTAATAGCAAACGAAATACTTTCACTCAAATTGAATATTTTTCGTTTATAGCCTATAATAGGTGAAGATTAGGATGCTTTATTAGTCCAACGTGAACGATAGTGAGAAATAATTTGAGAACCTTTAGACATGTGTCAATTTGAATCGAGCATATAGTAAATCATAAGGAGTAAACCATAGAGCCATGTCTATATCTTTGTAAGAAGTCATTTGAATTATGATGTATGAAGGAACATTTTGGTAACATTTTTCCTAGATTAATAATAAGATGGTTATAAATTACTACAAAAAATTAAAACAAAAATTGCACAAAAAAAGAGTTTTTGTTTATTTTCATTATTTTGGGTTTATCTAAATTTTGTATCTTCCATCTTTTTCAAAATTTTGTTCATTTAAAAAAAAAGGGTCATAAAAATGGTTTTTTTCCCTAAAATTTATACTACTAAGATTTTTTTTAGACCATGTACATATGAAAACTCATCTTTCATGAATAATCATGACATTCATGCATATTATGCATCAATTATGCATTTATACATAGCATTTTCTTTTTATATATGACAAGAATTTGTAAATAAAAGGCTTAAAGTTATCACTAATACTTTTTGTTTTAAAACACCCAAAAAAATTATTTTTGTTAGAAATAAATCACGAAGGATCTTGACTTGGAAATTTCTGGTGATAGTAAGTTCAAGGATAAGCTCAGCCATCAAAGGTTTCAAATCTACTTGGCCACGTTTTGTACAATACTCAAGCTAAGGTTATAGAAGGGGAACAAACTGGTAGGATAGATAAGATTGAAAAACCACAAGATGAATAAAAGAACAACTTAACATGATAATGGAAATGATAAGAAAAATAAGCAAAAGGAAAGAAATAGTGAGGGAAGAATCTACCCAAGAGGGACATCAATTACTAGATGATGATGATGACCCCCGATGTTTACTAGGTTTAACCCCATGTCAAGCCCAAACTTTTGAGCGGTACAATCATGATTTATGCCCTTCATTGGAGAATGCCCATCCACCTACACTACCATGCTTATAACACGGGGACCTACTCAATTTATGGGGCATGATGCAACACCTACAAGGATGAAGTCATCAAATCTAGTTTATGTCCCTAATTTGGGCAATCCAAAAGAGCAAGAAAAGCTCAAAACAAGTGTAGCAAAAGTAAAAGAAGTAAGAGAGGACTCAGAGTCCAACATAGGGTAAAGTTTATAGAAAAAAGGCTACGAGCCATTGAAGGGATGGATATTTATGGATCGATGGATGTAGTTGAATTATGCTTGGTGCCAAACGTGATAATTTCACTAAAGTTCAAAGTTTCTAAATTTCAAAAGTATAATAAAACTAAATGCCCATTGACTTATGTTATCATGTACTATCAAAATATAGCTATTCATGCCCATAGTGATAAATTGTTGGTCCATGTCTTCTAAGATAACCTCATAGGATCTATTACAAAATGGCATGTTCAATTAGATAGAAGTCACATCCACTAATAGAAAGATCTAACTAGGGCATTGTTTGCACAATACAAACATATCATAGATTTAGTCTTAGATCATATATCATTACAAAATATGAAGAAAAAAAACTACTAAAAGCTTTAAAGAGTATGCTCAAAGGTGGAGAAATACAATCGCCTAAGTTCAACCACCACTCATAAAGAAAAAGATCATTGTCTCGTTCATTAACACTTTTTGAGCACCTTATTATGACAAGATGATTAGGAATGCACAAAGAATTTTATGGACATAATGATTTTAGATGAGATAATAGAAAGGGTAATCAAGAGTGGAAGGTTTGAGGAAGAGGCTGTAAAAAGAAAAAAAAGGCATTCAAGAAGAATGGAGAAAATGTGTAAGCCATAACTTATGAAGAGCAGTAAAACAAAGGCTTTGCTCTATATTATACTTACTTGGTTTACCACCTCTACTATTTTGTCATAAATAATGTCTCCTTAAATCCCTAGCCATACCAATAAGAGTTTCAAGAAAACTTCCAACTTTAAATAATTACTCATGATCTAGCCGTTACATTCAGATCTATTACCCAACTAAGAAAAAAACCAAAAAAGATAAAAAAAAAAAGTGAAAAGAAACTCCCTATCCTTATTTTTGATCTTTTGCCTTTGTTAGTAAAAAGTCAATACCTCAGTCATGTGCCTTTGAAAACAAACCCAAATTCATCAATAAAGAGATATGATCCAAATAGCAAATGCTAGTTTCATATGGGGGTGATTGATCATTCAACCGAAAAATGCTAGTAGTTGAAAGGAAAGATTGAGGATTTTATCAATGGTGGCATTTTAACTATTATGCTTATAGAGCAATGGAAATTTACTTTGCCTCGAGTCCAATTACAAAATTTGAGGAGTTAAGAAGAAGTAGTTCTTAAGCTTTTGGAATTTTGTATACATATGCATGGCATGCACATGATATTGCTAGGTTGTATCTGTTGCATGGAATCAATATTGTTGGATTTTCGAATAAGTGTTCTATAGTTTTTATTTATTTATTTACTTTTTTTTTTCAAGAAATTGTTTGAAAATAAAACCCACATAGCATACTTTCCAAATCAAGAAAAATGAGAAGTGAAAAATAAAAAAAATGGTTTTCAAATTCATCATGATAGGTCTTAAAGAATTGCTAATCACTATTTGGAATGAACCTATCCCAAAAATACCTTTTGCCAATGCTTTCATGAAAACTACTCAAGAACTTAATGTTTCAAGAGGGCACAAATTTCAATCCTATCTTCACCTAATCATAACATGACATATAAAAGGGGATAATTTTTCTTAGATGATGATTGATGAAATAGTTACTTTAAAATAGCCTTTTTGCACCAACTTGATATGTTAGACTGACTTGACATGTTCAGGGATAAGTCAACTCGACCACATCACTTTTATCCTTTACAGGTCCCTCGCTTTTTATCTATAAATATAGATATCCAAGTACTATCATTTCATTTGATCTTATTCTCAACTTTTTACCTTTCTCTCATTTCGACCTCTTTCATATCGATCTTTTACTTATGTGTCAGAGTGTAAACGCAAGAAATACTCTCTGCCTTTGTATGTAACCGCTCTCTTCCCTTTCTTATCTTTTCAAGAATATCTTCAGGTAGGAGCTCGGCACAAATAATATAATAATAAAAAAATCTCAAAATTAGACAAAGAAAATGATCCCCAACCATTTACTTTATTATGTTATTACTACTTTTTTTCCAAACACAGCTAAATTGAATTGAAATTTTGTCTTATTTTCTGTACAAATTAAACAAACGAGCTTCCTCACGTTTCATGAAGCTCAACTCATTTAAAAATAAATAAAGGTGACGCAGTGAAGAGAAATTATTTAAGAGGTAGAAAGCTAAAAAGGGCATAAGGAAAGGGATTATTAATTGTCAGCCTATAATCTGTTAGAGAAAGGGCCAAAAGTCATAATTTAAAGTCTTAAATGTGATTGAAACAGCACAGAGTTAGGTAAGACAAGCGAGAAAGAGGAGCTCAAGCCGGTTAAAGACGGCAAAAACAATTTTTTTTTTCTTTGTGGCCGGCTATTTGTATTTTTCTCTCCTCTCATCATCCCTTTAAAACCATCTGCATTGGAGGACTCGGTCATATCTTTTCCAATATTTTTTTTAAATCACTTTTCTTTGCCTTGACGTACGTAGCTGATCATCAAGTTTTATTCATGGCGAAATTATCACAGCAGAACCAGAAAAACAATGCACAAAGTAATAGTATTAAAAACGATATTAGCAATACTAGTACTACAAGTAATGGTGTTACTAAGGTGAAGAGAACTAGGAGAAGTGTCCCAAGAGACTCACCTCCTCAACGTAGCTCGATTTATCGAGGGGTCACTAGGCAAGTCATTTAATCATGAATTTTCATGGTATATATCTAGATTTCAGTCACCTGACTTGCATGTTAATTATGTTGATTGTTTCAGGCATAGGTGGACTGGTCGATATGAAGCTCATCTATGGGACAAGAATTGCTGGAATGAATCACAAAACAAGAAAGGACGCCAAGGTTCTTAACCTTTTTTTGTTTTCTCTTCTTATTGATCTTAATTGAGTTATATTAGTAGCAGAGATTTTATTGATTTCTTTTTCTCATCCTTCATGGTTGCTGCTGCTGCTGCTGCTGTTTATACTTTCTCAAAATGCAGTCTACCTTGGTATGTTAGCTACTACTTTTTGAGGGAAATTTTTGATAGTGGGTTTTCTTTTACCTCACACTTGGGAACTTTACCTTTTTTTTTTTTTTTTTGCTTTCAGGTGCTTATGATGATGAAGAAGCTGCAGCACATGCTTATGATTTAGCTGCACTCAAATACTGGGGTCAAGATACCATTCTCAACTTTCCGGTAATTTTATCTCTTATATTGTTGTTTAATTTCTTGAGTATGCTTTTTAAGAAGATTGGGGAAGAAACTGATTTAAAATTAATAATGCAGTTATCAACATACGAGAAGGAATTGAAAGAAATGGAGGATCAGTCTAGAGAAGAGTATATTGGATCATTGAGAAGGTGAGATTAATAACTGATGAGGCTCCTTCACTTATTAAGATATATAAGAGGGATTGATAGCAATTAATGTGCATTCAGTTAATAATGTATTTGGTCTTGAATTTTGCAGGAAATCTAGTGGTTTTTCTCGCGGAGTTTCAAAATACAGAGGTGTTGCCAGGTACTTGTTTAGAATTTATCTTGTTTCCTCTTCATCATTTTTGTCTTTTGTGAGTGCGAGCTTCAAATTGTTAGAGCAACCAGGCTCTGATCAACAAACAATACGTATTTGCACTTTTGCAGCAACTTGGCTATAATCTTTCCGATCATCTACAACATTTCAATTCTCAAATGCAACGTCCTTTCAATTTATTGAATTTACTTGTTTTTCAATGTCAATGAACAGACATCATCACAATGGGAGATGGGAGGCTCGCATTGGCAGAGTGTTTGGCAACAAGTACCTCTATCTTGGGACATATGGTATTAGCTTATCTGTCTTTTTTTTTCCTTTTACTAATTCCAAAACAAACTAGCCTCTTAGGTGAGAAAGCAAACCACGCCCCTCCCCCCTCCCCCCCCCCCCCCCCCCAAAAAAAAAAAAAAAAAAAAAAGAACATAAAAGAGAAAGAAGTTAAAAGAGCTTAGACTTTTCTTTTTGCCCTTTACTTTCAGAGCTTAATGCGTTTGTGTAATGGACGCATTAATGCCCTGACTCATTCCTACCCAATAGCAATGGCTAGCTTATCATTTTTAGATCCATTGATCAAAATACTCCAAAATCAAGATTGAAAAGGACAAGTGAGTTGATCAAAATCTTTCAGGTTGACAAACAAACACTAGAAACTTACGGGGTCTTAATCATATCTATAATAATCTGTTAACGTAACTTCAATGGAATGAGGCCAAGCATATCCTACAGTTATAATTTCCTTGAAAGTTGGGGCATGCATGCCCATATAATATCTACCGGATAAACATAGGAGGAGAACGATTAAATCACGGTCAATTTAGTAGGATGGTCCACCTACTACATATAAATACAAGTAGTGAACAGAAACTCAATCCACTCACCAAATTTTATTTAGAAATGAATCTTTTTCAGGCTATTTCAGTGCAAATTAGATAGATTCTCATCTGTTCATTGACTTTTGCAGCTACGCAGGAAGAAGCTGCCACCGCATACGATATGGCTGCTATAGAGTACCGGGGATTAAATGCTGTGACAAACTTTGATTTAAGCCGTTACATCAAATGGCTTAAGCCCAATCAAACCAACACTGAAATCAACCCTAACCCTAACTCTAACATAGACACTGCAACTTCAACAGTAACACCAAGCCCTAGTCAAGAACTTAACCTAAGCTTCTTTAGCAACAACAACAACCAGCAGCTGCAAGCTGCCTCCAGTTTCCCTAGTGAAACCTTGCAGACTCAGTCCAGGCCAGTGAATGCCACGTCAGCCCTAGGGCTTCTCCTTCAATCTTCAAAATTCAAGGAGATGATGGAGATGACATCGGCTGCTGATCACTGTCAATTGACACCACCGGTGCAACGCAGCTTCCCTGAAGACATACAAACGTACTTCGAATGTCAAGATTCAAGCAGTTACGGAGATGGCGATGATATTATTTTTGGTGAGCTTAACTCTTTCATGCCACCGATGTTTCAAGGCGACCTTGATGCCTAAGGAAAAAAGAATTTTAGTGGTTAATCATATGCATTGAGGATGACTACCTTGGCTCCAATTTTTCTTTCTTTATTATTTAGTTATAATCCAATAAAGATGTGTAGGTGCTTTGTGAATACAAGACCCTAGGGATCAGAATATTGGATGAGGTAGTACCGGAGGATTTTAGATTTGAGTACTTGGCCTAGAAAAGGCTAAGAAAGGAAAGATGAGAAGATAAAATTTACATATAGTTTCTTCATTGCAGGGATAAAGTGGAGAAAGATGGCGGCTGATCAATATATTTGGTTCATTTCGTGTAGATTAGAAAAGAAAATAAGCATTTGTATCAAGATTTTTTTTCTATCAATAAGGAATCAATACCTTATCATCGTTAACAATTAAATTTCTACTTTTTAATTGTGTGTATTTGCCAAGCTAGCTAGTTGATAAGCATCATTTTCTAAAGAAAAATGTTTAATGCATTATTCTCAAGTATAACCTAACCTAACAATTATCCATCAAGTATCCATTTGAATGTATGATAAGATTGATTATGGTGATATTGAAAATAAGGGTGGCGATATAATTAAATATTATAGTGAAAAAATTAAAATCAATGATAAAATATATGTTTTGATGCAAATGCAAGGTGTGTTTGGTGCTTAAAACTATAATAAAATATGATAAGATGATATTATAATTAGTATTAAATTAAATAATGTTATACTATCTTATATTTGATATATGTAAGGTTTATAATAAGATAATTTATTTATTGATTAAAATTATCTTTCTTCAAATTTTATATAATTTAAGTTATGGATATAATTTTTTAGGATATAATAGAGTATGTAAGTTCAATCTCATGAATTAAAAATAATCTTCTTCACTTTAAGAAGATTGAATTAACGTATACCAAGAAAATGATTAATCATTTTTACAATCCCTTTCTTTAAATACAAACAAAAAATAGTATATGATGATTATCATCTTATACTATCAATAATCTTATGCATCAAACATGATCTAAGGATAGTATATTAAAATTTGTATATAATAAAAATTTTAGTATATTTTTAACATCTATGAGTTTATAATGAATTAAAATTTACTACAATTATTTTTATATCAATTAATAATAATAGATTTGCAATTAAAGACATTAATTTACAAGTATACTACATTAATAAAAAATTTTCACTGATAGTGCATTAATACTAACTCGTATACTTTAAAAAATTATTCTATAGAAAACGTTAACACATATTTTGGATATTTGTGAGATAAAATCAATAAATATAAGGGTAAAATTGGATTAACAATCAAGAAATTAGAATATAATTGTCCTAACTTGAGCCCAGGTGTGCCACCTTAACTTTTCTCCTCTAGAGGAGATTAGAGCCTCGGTGAAAAAATTTTAGTGCAATCGCACCATAATCGTGTTAACCAAACATTTCATAATAGTGAAAATATTGCATAAAAGAGGTGCCTAATCACATCTGCACCTCCATTTATATCAAAAGTTTTCTGCATGCATCCCGATGCTCTTGTTTTTGGATGATCATCAATTAATTTTTGATCAAGAAAACATATTAAAAGGACTCTTTACTTACCCTCCCTAATCTTTTCTCGAACAATTAGGACATATATATATATATATATATACACATAAACGGTACAAGATATCATAAAGTTTAATAGGGAACCATCTATATATATATTTATTTATTTATACACACACACAAGTAAATTACTCTCTTACTCTCCTCGATCTCACTCTCTCAAAGAACTACTTTGTAATAGCATGGAAAGTAATGAAAAGAATGGCGATTTAACAAAAGCAGAGTTCCAAAAGTAATGAAACTCAACTCGTTGGAAAATTTTTATTAAACAAATTTCTATCTCAACATCTTAGATATAAGTTTTTTTTTTACAAAAAGATAAATTCTGAAGATAATATCACGAAGAGATAACTTCTTAAGCAACAATAATTCTAAAGATTAATCATCCTGATAAATTTCATAAAAAATAATTAACTAATTCAAGATAACATAATAATTAATAGAGATAATAAAGATAAACTTGGTGAGAGTCATTCACATCTTGGTGTCTTTGCATGCTTCTCAGGTGGAACTGCACATAACAAGTATATTAATGGAATAAGTTTTTAGGTATTTCTTAATGTCTACAAATTGAAATATCAATTATATATATACTATAAGTTTTAAATATGCCATTGGTTTTTTAAATGGAATTTATTGTAAAGAACAATATGTTATTTTCTTAATAATGAGCTTCAAAACAATTTATAATTTTGATACTAAAATATTATAACTAGGGCAAAGAAAAATTTTTTAAAATTGAAAATAATTCAAGTGGTAGTGCTAAATTTATGTTTTTATTATATTCAGTTTGGATGCTAAAAATATACTTAGTTCTGTTTTTTAATTCATAAAATAAAAATAAAAATAAAAAATTTAATTTAATTGAATTACATTTTTTATTAATTTTAATTCTTTGAAACAAGTAATTAAACAAACTAAAAATAATATATAGTTGAAAGATACACAATTTTTAAAATTGGAGTAACCAAATTTGATATGATTTTGATTTAATTTCTAAAAATTAAAAATAAAAAATATTTTAAAAGGAATTTAACGAACTGAATACATTACATATTACAAACCCAAATATTACTTTCCAAAGTGTAGGTTCTACGAGGCCCGCCCAAGATTCTTTGGATCTAACAACACCTACAATTGAAAGGGTCCGATAGACTGCCAACGTCTCCATTTTCGTCCACGTGCCAACGCTGCAACGGCCACCCGAGAATGTTCAAATTCCCCCTCGGAATCTCATTGGCAATCTCGTAAATCCACAACCCCCCCATCTTTCCTATAATTTCACACTTTTTCCCATTTTATTATAAGTTAGCATTTGATAAATTTTGGTGTAAATTTTTAATTTCAGGAAGTATTAACAAAATGATATATATTTTATTTTTTAATTAACTTTTTAAAATATATTATAAAAATATATATCATTTTTTTTTAATTTTGTTTATAAATTTTAAAAATTTATTATCAATATATTTAATAATTTCACAATAAAATTTGTTTTATATATATTATAATATCAAAATGTATTCTTTTTAAAGGAAATGAAAGTTTTAAAATTATTAAAAAGGAAATAAAAAATATGTTTACTCTTGTTTTTAAGTCAAAATTTCAACTTCAACCAACATTAACATAATAGAAAATCTGATATGCCCACAATCATTTCCGGCAACAACCCGGCCTGATGAGGCTATAAATGGCCTCCGACGATCATTTCCTATCAGGCAAAGTGTTTCAAGCCTTAATATGCACTAGATCTAAAATTTTGTCGAGATTTTAGAGCTTTAGACTGTAAGGATGTTTGGTTCGACTTGGCTATGATCGATTCTGGGTATAAGAATGCTGATTCGACTTGGCCATGATAGATTCTGGCTACTTGGTCATTGTTGACAGCTCCTTTCCATTTCTTTTCTACCAAGGTTAAAAATTAAAAATTCAACTTTAAAATAAGTGTAAAATTGACACTCAATTTTTATCTTAACAACTTTCAAATTTTATTGAAGAGTTCTAAATACATTACTAATTCTTCTCTTTACACCTCGATATTTTTCTCTTAAAAATATTCATATAAAAATATCAATTTTATTCTTTAATAAATTATAATTTTACTTTTCTTGCACCTTATGTTTAAGACTTTTGATTTGATAGCTTTAAAAAGCTCTCGAGATTCATTTTTAAGAAATTTTCAAAATTCTAAAAAATGAATTTTCAAAAGCTTTTTAAAATTTTCAAAAATATATTTTTAAAAAATATGATTTCAACGAAAAATATATCAAATGCAACATTTATTTAAAACGCTATATTTATATGCTCCTAAACACAATATTTAATACATGTAAATAAAATAGTTTCATTTAACTAAATAACATTGTTTAGTTATAGATGATATTTTTTATGTCAAAAACCCAATCTTTGATTTGAAAATATATAAAGCAGTATTTAATTAAAGACTTCATTTATAAAGTTACAAATGTTAAAAATGGAGACACAGCAGTGAGTGTTAACAGGGAGAGACTTTTGTCGTAGATACGATTGTTCACCAATACCTCGCTATCTCATGCCAAATCGGAATCACCAAAAAAATCCTCATCCCACTACCATCATCGCCACAGCCCCTATTCATCTTTGATTTAAGAAATGAAGAATGGTTGATTTCTCAAAAATGTCTAAATGAGAAATTTTTTTTTTTACTCTCCAAAATGTTGAAAAGTTTAAGACAAAAATTTTCAAAAATTAATCTATAAAATCAAGAACGAAAATGATAAGAATGCAATTCTAAAAAAAAATAAGTGGAAATTATTTTGGATGATAAAATTCAATGAAATCATTAATGGTTGTTTTTTAAGAAATTTTTTAAATGAAAATTTTATGTTGCCAAAATGGTGGCAAAAATTATATAAAATTTCAATAGTAAAAATAAGAATACAAATGAAAATTTTTAGAAATAATAAAATAAATTTGATATTGGGATTCTAAGAGGTTAAGAATAGTTGATCCTCTAAAAAATATTTTAGATGAGAAACTCTGGATGATAAACTTATTTCGTAAAATTAGATAAAATTTCACCTAAATGGTGGTAAAATTAGATAAAATTTTAAGAATGATATTTTAAACATAGTAAATGATAAAGATAGAAATAAGAAGTTTTAGAAATAATAAAAATAAATCTCAATGAGGAAATTCTAAGAAATTAAAAATGGTTGATTTTTTTAAAAATCTTTAGGTGATAAAATATTTCTAAATATTTTCAAATGGTGAAATTTTTAGATATATCTTAATGCAATGAAAATTTAGATTTGTAATGTAGTTTTTAATATAAAAACAACGTTTTTTCTTTAAAAAATGTTGTCTTTGAAATGAAAAAAAAAATCTCAAAGACTATGTTTATAATTCTAAAAATGTAGTTTTTGTGCTTTATTTATGGATTTCACATAACCATTCAGAAACCTAAAATTGATTTTAAAGGTAGCAAAGGATAAACCCTAAAACCTAAAAAAAAAAAAATACTTTTTGTTATTTATTAAATACTACGTTTTTATGTTAGAAACGTGACATTTGTATTTTTAAAGATTACGTTTATGGCATAAGAAACATGGTTTTTGTTATTTAAAAGAGTACTTTGTTACTTAACAAAAATTATGTTTCTTATTTTAAAATGTAGTCTTAGTTTTTTTAAAACTAC